GTCAGAACCAACACATAGCTGACCCTTTATTGGATTTCTGAGGCTGTAAATCTCATGGGAGATTTGCCCATGTTTCTGCCAGAGAGGAATAGACTCTGTGTTGGCAGTGAAACCCCGTATGGACTATGCCACCAGAGCTTGCGAGCACATAAAAAAGGGTAAAGACAAATCAAGGGCCAGGAGCTTTCTCTCCTTGTGCACCAAAGCTGGAGGAAGAGTAGCTGAATTCTAGGTAGTTCTCTACCTCTTGGCAGATGGATACTCAAATACATCCCATATTCCAACTGCTTTTATTTCAAGAACACTGTGTTCTGGCCATTCTGTTGGCCCCAAACTGAGGGGCAGGACACGGTGGATTGGCCCACAGGATGAGTGTATTTGATGCTGTTGGAGCATCCAAAGTTCCTGATCTTCATGACTTTTGAGAGAATGGTTTTGTTGAAATGATCCTCCGGAGTAGAGCATCGAAATCCCTCTCATATTTTCACCCATAAAGAAGGCACTCCTGTGAGAGTGTTTCATCCATGAAGAAGGCACTCCTGTGAGAGTGCTTCTGTAAGAACCGGTATTTGCCCACAACCATTTTGTTAGCAATGGACTTTGCCATTTGCCTGAAGCTCGGGTCACCTTTCTACCTCAGGCAGATTTCACACTCTAGGCTATTTGCCAATTTTTAAAATGCCTTTCATTCCACTAAATTATTTTCACTATTGTGAACATCCAGTGCAGCCAGGAGCCCCTGTCCTCTTCCAGTTCCTCCTCCATCTCCTCTTCCACAATCTTGAGAGTGCACCGGTGCCTCCCGCCGGGTTAGTGTTTTGTCTTGTGCTCCAGCTCCATCTGTTTCAATGCTCCAGCCTCCTGTCTGTGTACTCTTCATATGCAAACTCATTCTAACTCCCCCAAAATGTTCCTCATCCTCTACATCTTCAGGTCTTCCATATCTTCAGGGGTTTTTTTTCTCATTAATTTATCATTCCCTGACATCATTCTGTTTCCTCATCATTTTCCTTTCCTTGTTTACTCATATTCTTGTTCCATACATCTCTTTCAAAATGAGTTACTTTCTCCTGTCACTTTGTTCATTATCTTAAAACCATAATTGATCCATAGATGACCCTCCAGTGGGTTTTCAAAGACTGCAAATTGCACTGGAGGAGATTGCCCATCTTTCTCCTTTGCAGAAGCTGGTGGATTCAAGCCTCCTGCCTTTGGCCTGGCAGCTCAATTCTCTACCCACTAGGCCAGCAGAGCTCAGTTCTTTTATTTCCTACTGTCCAGCCAATTTATTTTCCACATCTTCACTAATAAGGTATCCTTTCTCCACACTTATTTACTCTGTATGCTGAGCAAATGAATCTAGAAGCTAGATTCTATGAAGAAGAATGTGGCATCAGGATTGGAAGAACACTCATCAATAACCTGTGCTATGCAGACGACACAAACTTGCAAGCTGAAAATGAGAAGCACTTGAAGCACTTGCTGCAAAAGGTTAAATGCTGTAGCCTCCAATATGGATTTTATCACAATGTCAACAAAACAAAAATTTTCACCACTGGACCAAGAAGAGACAACAACATCATGCTAGATGGAGAAAAGATTGAAAATGTCAATAACTTCATCCTACTTGGATCCATAATCAATACACTTGGTACCAGAAGTCAGGAAATCAGAGATGTATTACACTGAGTCAAGGATTATTTTTTCTTCTCTAAATTACTGACGAACAATAATGTCAGTTTGAGGATGAGGCTGTACCTGATTCAAGCCATGATCTTTTCAGTCACTTGCTATGCATCTGAGAGCTGGACAATGAATAAGGATGATAGAATTGATGTCTTTAAACTGTGATGTTAGAGAAGAGCAGGAATCCATATCCCATGTTCTACCAAAAGAACAAACAAATATGCCTTGGAGAAGGTGCAGCCAGACTGCTCCTTGGAGGCAAAGATGACAAAACTTCATCTCAAATACTTTGGGCATGTTGCTAGGAGAGGCTGTTCCTTGGAGAGGGACATCAAGCTTAGAAAGGTAGAAATTTACAGCAAAGGAGAGAAAGATCTTCAACCAGGTGGATTGACATCATGTCTGCAGCAAGGGCTTGAGCATGTGAGAGACTGTGAGGATGGCAGCAGCTAGCACAGGGTTCCGATCTGTTGTTCATAGGGTCATTATGAACAACATAGGTCCACGGCATATAAGAACAACAGCATAAACCAGAGATAAAGAGATGACTCCTCTGCCTATTCCTCAGCCTCTGCTTATTGTTCTCTGATTTCTTAACAAACGGAAATTCTTTATCCTCCTTACCTGACAACCCCGGAGGGGCTTAATCTGGTCTCTTTCCTGACACAAAGCATTTCACCTTCATTTTTTTCCCCTCCTATTGAAATCCCAGTCTTTTTCACTGTGCACAGGGACACTATCAGGCATAAAACCACCAGGCTGTTGTTTCATGAGTTTGGGAGCAACATGCTGATGGCTGCAGTGGATACTATTTCACTCTAAACAGGGTATATTGACAGTATCAACAAGCAGGAAGAAAATATCCTATCACACCTAGGTCTACTTGAAGAAAAGACGCTTCATGACTGAATGGATCACCACTTATGCCTGAGCTAGACAAGCCAGGAATGTGTAAGAAAGGGATTATGGGATCTGGAGGATTTACACCAATACTGAGGTGTTAATATACTTGTTTCTAGGCCATTTAGGCTCCTTCATTTCACTTGTGTGGAAGCAGCTCTGGAGTGGGCGGGGGG